AAATCCAAAAGCAACCGCCTAACCTAAAATATAAGGAAAGATAGACAACTTCAAAGAGATGAGACACAATACTGTGTTGACCAGGGATAGATGTCAGATGCCATAGTGGTCAGTAAAAATAGTTTATCATGATTTGAAACAAATTCTTCACAATTGAATGTTGATCTCTGTGGGAATTTGAGAATGACTGGGAGTTGGATGACAGAAAGACAAATCACCCCCTCTCAGATTTATCTCCCTAGATCGCAACCAGGTAGTCATGAAAAGTTTAATGGCAGGACTAGGGGCCTGAGAAGACTTCATCTTGAAATGATCAGTCCTGGTAGAGGGTAATGGAAGTGAAGATGGAAGAACACCTTTCTCAGTTACTCTTTTATGAAGGTACAAAGCCTTCAGTCACTGGACAAAGAGCACAAATTAAAACCCATTACTGTTGAGGGAAAAGAACAGAAACAAACTATGTAACCTTAGGATGAGTACGGTCATCTTAAGTCTCCTACGGTGCGAGGGGAAGGGCAGAATCACTGAACAGACTTTGCTTGCAATACTTAGGAAACTTCCCTAAAACAGGCTGATCGTGCACAGTCAGTAATGTAAGATTCCCCAGTTCGTGCTCATCAGCAGACTGACAGGCTTTGGGTAGCAAGTAGCATTTTTCTACCCCTGAGTGACTGTCTATAACATGGAGAGGTCTTATCTGCAGCGCAGGGACAAAGGGAAGCTCTCAAGCTAATAGAGGAGTAGACATAAGGAAAACCCTCTGAGCCCTCAGCCCACACCCCAAAACTAGGCAAATCAGGAGCAATATGCACATATGAGATATTCACTGTGGACAGTCAAAACAATAACAAGAAGTAGTGGATGGCTTGAGTCTTTCATCTATTGAAGAAGTTTAATCTGTATTTAGCAACCTTCTACCACACAAAATAGCTCCAGGCCAGATGGCTACACTGGTAAATTCTCCATCTAACTTTCCACATTTTCATATCAGATTTCAATTGAATGACACAAATTCAAGAACAACAGTGTTTAAAAATATTCAAGACACAGGGAGAGAAAGGATTAGGGTCAAAATAAGGGGGAGGTGCAATTGTATAGGGATTATAACCAAAATGAAAATGCATACATTATGCAAAAATGAAAAATGATGTAAGAATTATATAAAATAAAATATTAAAAAAAATATTCAAGACAGCTTTAAAACCAAAGTGTTGACAAAACCCCCTTTGGAAATCAAAATCCTGAGTATTGCATTGGTTATGCAGACAAAGAGAATGTCAGCATTAACTAATCCTCCACAAGTCCAAATTTTGAGACACTTAGCATTTCTAGGGAAGAAGAAAATAAAAGGGCGGTATAGAACCATATCTATACCAATAAAGCTTTTATTTGAAACATCTAAGACACATTATTCATTATTATCTACTTAAATTTATTGGGAAGTTTATTGGGTCCATTACAAAATTTCATGGTAATTTTGCCTATTAAATAAACTTGAAATTTAATAACAACATTAAACATCAATACAAAGACTTGAAAGTATAAATGATTACATTTGAGATAAATTTTGAATGACAAATGGGTTGATTAAATAAAACAGAGAAAAGTGCAAAAAAGGAAAACAATGAAAAGGTTTAGTTATCTGTTCAAATGATTTTTGTTAGAACATTTATGGATTTAGTAGAAAAAAAATGCTAGAATTTCAGAGCCTTTGGGTTTTTGACACAAAATTATATTGTCTCCCCAAATTTTGACCTGGGTTAATGAGAGAAGGAGATATATCACTCACTGTTGAAAGTTAAGAAAGATTTAATCAAGACTCATAAGGTAATTAACAAACCTTACTTTTCCCGGCCTTTATTTTCTTAGAAGTCAAGACTCAAGAAAGGTTAGAAACTAGACTCCTCAGAGACCTTGGGTCCTTGATAAAACTGGCTCTTGAGAATTTTCTGTTGAGAGCTCCTCCCAGGCAAAGAGAAGCAGCTCATAAGGACTAATCAAGTTGAGACAGAACAAAGCAAGATCCTCCCCTGGTGCTTAGGCTGGTGAGTCTGCCCCATCTCCAGGCCTCCAGTGCGTCCTTACTGCATAGTGACAGGCAATGGAGAAGAGAGATGGGGAGAAGATACAGAATATACATGTTCAGGGCAAAGGACACTAATGGTGAAGCTTAGGGACAGGATAGATCCCCACTTAGAAAGGACCATATAATCCTAGTAAAAACATTTGGATTTCAGTCTGAATCCATCCTATGTGCATTTTAGAAAAATTAGTTTGCTTGATAGTTAATGAATGATGGATATGTTTGGAACATGGTTCAGTGTTTAAAATAATTATCTGTCCTAAAATTAAGAGTTTATTTGCACTTATTTTAATTTTCTCAATGAAGAAACTGAGGTAGAGGTATTAAAGCTCTGGTGCAAACCCTCACAGCTATATAGTAATACTCTTTATTTATTTTCCTTTATCTCTAGAGTGAACAATCATGAAATTAAGCTTCAACACCATTAGTCTGACTAACAAAATCTTGTTCTTCATCACCGAAAAACATTATACAGAAATCAGCCCAAGTCATGGTGTTGAGTTGAACCATCCCAGTTATGATGAAGGCAATGTACTCATTTAAATGATATTTTTAGTAATGCACTCGGTGGTGTTGTAGTGATAGGTGGAAAAAGATAAAGGATAAAGCTCATATTTCTGAATTATGCAAATCAATAAGTAGTAATGACATTTACTGAGATAGAGAGACACAAAGTAAGGCTAAATTAGTTGGATGTAGTAGGCATCATTGAGCATTAAGTTTTAAAAATATTTTACTTGTAATGTTTTTGCAAAGAACTTGTGAAGGTAATTATTGTTGGTTTGTATACCGGCTCCTGTGTATGTAGGCCAATGGGAAACTGAAGACGGTAGGCACACCACACCTGTTAACTGGTGGCAGGGGTTTTGTTGTTGTTCTTAAAAACAGTTTTATCAAAGTATAATTTTCATATAATAAAATTCACCCCATTTAATGATAAATGATTATAATGCAAGGATTTCTAGTACATGTACAGAGTTGGGCAACCATTACTGGCGACTAATATTAGGGCATTTCCATCACACCAAAAATATCTTTGGCCTTATTTGCAGTCACTCCTCTTCCTACCCTGAGTCCCAAGAAACAGTCCCATTCTGTCTCCAAATAGTTCCTTGAAACGGATTCATGAAACATATGATAAGTTTAATAAGCAAGGGAAATTATGTTTTGGGGAGACCACAAGATGAGTAGATCACCAAATGAATTTTTTAAAGATTTGTTTATTTATGCATTCAAGAACTGGGGTACAGGACAGAGTCATGGGGAGGATGGAGAGGATTCACCAGAGACAGAATGGGGAACAGAACAGGCAGATTAACTGAAATACACTGCTGAGGGGTGCGGCCAATGAGACAGGAGAGGTCTGCTGTGCCATGTGGGTGGCTCCCTAGCCGGGGATCAAACTCGTGCTACAGAAGCTGCAGATAGCTTCATAGTCTGCACCAAATCTTAAAAGTTAAAGTAGTTGCCTTAACTGGGTACAGGTACATATACTGTTCACGTGATTTATTCATTCTGATTTTTGGCTACTTACCCAGTGTTTACTCTCTGCATCATTGTCAAATTAAACTGTATGACCAGGGTGACATATTAATTTCTACTTAATTTATTTGTGGTCACAAAATATAGTATCATTCCTTCCCTCTTGTAAAGGCAGAGTACTCTTTTGCAATCAAATTTACAACTTAATTTATAATTTAAAATAAATTTCCATTAAAGTGAAATACTATTGCATAAGTATTTACTGGAAGAAGGAACATTTCGTGGCACTTTTGCTGATTTCCACCCATGGGATTCAGAAAAACTTGCACATTGAGTGAATACTGCTTTTACTCTTTTTGCTTCTGTATTGCTGCTGTGGAATATTCAGATAAGAAGAGACATCTTACTGCAAAATATTTATACATATCTATGAATAAGTGCTTTGGAAATGCTCCCATATTAAATATTATAAGTAAGCCAATGAAGACAACTAACAAGGTTTTAGGGGACATTGAAAATGATTGAATTGTTATTCATTTTCCAATAGTCCAAACTTGCTTCTCTCTCTAAGATTTATTTATATTTTGACATGATTATTTAACTCCTAAAGTCACAACTGCCTTACTATAATTAAGAAATGCTAACAATTTTTGATGTTGTGAAGGTTAAATTGGATTGTGTGTTTCTATGTGTGCAGAGTAATATGTGTATATATGGGGTGGAGGGGAGGTGTTACCTGTATATATAATAAAGGTAAACCATAGAGTAGCTTTTCCTTTCTGTCCATTGTCCTTCCATTTCCATTTGCTGAGCTCCTCCCTAGCCTAAATTTCCCAGACCTTTCATTAAACACATTGTAACCTTCTGGAAAGTCTCTTCAATGATGATATTTAGATTACTCACCTGTAAAGTATGTAAAATGAATGTTCTTTGAAAGGTATGTTTTTTAATATTGGAGATTATTTTTGCAGAGTCTGATGAAAGCTTCACAAATAGGTAGTCAGCAGCATCTCAGTAATGGTAGCTGATGTTACTTTTACTATTATTCCCTATCTTATTTTTGTAATAATAGTGACTCATGCTAAAGCTGGATCAATTTTTAACCCTTTCGAGTAATTTTTGTCATGCATTTTAATGAATATATGTGTTTATTGACTAGTTATTACCCATCCTCCATGTTAATCCTATGTGTTGTCATTCAATCAACTGAAATTAATGGCCATCACTATATTTAGAGAGTAGCAAAATCCTAAACTGATCAAAATTCCAAAAAAGTATAAGGAATATTCTCTGATAATTACAGTAAAAATGAAATCAGGCACTTAATTAAGTGTTATTATCTCATTCCTAGGTCTCCAGCATTACAGAAATCTATCTGGTGCCTTGTAGACTGGATGAGCATATATTTCTGAAGACTTATGCATTACCAAGTAAGATGTTTCTTCCTAATGACACCCAGTTTCACCCCTTTTCCTTCTTGTTGCTGGGAATCCCAGGGATGGAAACACTTCACATCTGGATTGGCTTTCCCTTCTGTGCTGTGTACATGATTGCATTCATAGGGAATCTCATCATTCTTTTTGTGATCAAGACTGAAAGCAGCCTACACCAACCAATGTTCTACTTCCTGGCCATGTTGGCTATCATTGACTTGGGTCTCTCCACAGCTACCATCCCAAAGATGCTTGGTATCTTCTGGTTCAACCTCAGAGAGATCATCTTTGAAGCCTGCCTCACCCAGATGTTTTTCATTCACAACTTCACACTTATGGAGTCATCAGTGCTCCTGGCAATGGCTTATGACCGCTATGTGGCCATCTGCAACCCACTCCGATATAGCACTATCCTCACCAACAAGGTTGTTTCTGTAATTGGTCTAGGTGTATTAGTGAGGGCAATTATTTTTACAGTTCCATTTGTATTTCTCATTTTGCGATTGCCTTTCTGTGGGAATAGTATCATCCCCCACACCTATTGTGAACACATGGGCCTTGCTCGTCTTGCTTGTGCCAGCATTAAAATCAATATTATTTATGGTTTATGTGCGATTGGTAATCTAGTGTTTGACATCATAACCATTGCCCTTTCTTATGTTCAAATACTTCATGCTGTTTTCCGTCTTCCTTCCCATGCAGCCCGACTCAAATCCCTCAGCACATGTGGTTCTCATGTTTTTGTCATTCTTGCCTTCTATACACCAGCCCTCTTTTCCTTTATGACACATCGTTTTGGCCGAAATGTCCCCCGCTATATCCACATACTGCTGGCCAATCTCTATGTTGTGGTGCCACCAATGCTCAACCCTGTCATATACGGAGTCAGAACCAAGCAAATATATGACCGTGTTAAAAAACTATTCCAGAAACAAGGAAAGGAAAAAGAATGACAATCAATAATAATCAGTGTCAATATGGAAATTAAGTCAGAGAAATACAATCTCATAAAAATTATGTTACAACATGCATTGGCTATTAAATTTATGTATTTATATACATGAATTTTAATATATTTCATGTATTTATATGCATTTCATTATATGCATTGGCTATTAAATTCATATATCTATATGCATTTTCAGGCCAATGTCACCTCAATAAAAATTACTAAAAGTATGTAATAAAAATTTATGCTCAAAGCTCATTCCACATTTGAAATAGAAAATATAATTACTTCACATTTTCAATGATCTTCTTTTCTTCATTTGGATCCATTTAATATCTCTTATTTTTAAACAGCTGGTAGAAATTCTTCTGTGTTTCTTGATGCACAGTTCAATAGGCAATGAATTCTGTTGTTTTTTGTTTATATCAAAATATATTTATAGATAACTCAAGAGGAAATATAAAATGAATAGACATTTAAAATGTAAAGAATTTAAATTTATAATCAATTTTTTTTGAAAATTTCACATCCAGATGCCTACTAGTAAATTTGTTTTAAAAATATTTTTATTTAGGTGACATTAGCTTACAATATTATATAATTTTAGGTGTACATATTATTATTATAAATAAACATTTGTATCTATTATATTTTGTACCCACAAAAAGTCTAGTTTGCCTTCTTTCAACATATAATTAAGTTTTAACCTAATTTTCCCACTCCTGTTTCTCTTCCCAAGTGGTAATAACTATTTTGTGTTTATAGTCAAGAGTTTACTTTGAGGGGGGGCCTCCCTGGTGGCTCAAGGGGTTAAGCCCCACACTGTGAAGCAATTCGCAGCCTCTGCAGTGCGAGTTCAGTCCCCGGCCAGCCAGGGAGCTACCCACATGTTGCAGCAAACCTCTCCTGACTCTCCCACTGCTCCCCTTAGCAGTGTACTTCAATCAGTCTGCCAGTTCTGTTCCCTACTCTGTCTTTGGTGAATTCTCTCACCCCCCATACCTCTGGCCTGTACCCCAGCTCTTGTATGCATAAATAAATAATATCTTTTAAAAAAGTTTACTTTTTTTTTCATGTTAGTAAGTTTTGTTTATTTTTCTTTCACATGAGTGAACCATGTGGTGGTTATCTTTCTGATTGATTTATTTCACCTAGCGTAACACCTTCTAGGTCCATCCAACTTGTTGCAAATAGCCTGATCAGTACTCCTTTGTGCTATAGGAATATAGCACAAAGTTCTTTATCCATTCATTCACTGATAGTCCCTCAGTTTGATTCTAGCTCTTGGCTATTGTGTATAATGTCACTATAGGAAAGTCTACATATATGCTCCAATTAGTGTTTACATAGCCACCAGGCAAATGCCCAGAAGTAAGATAACTGGAGCAAATGAAATTTCTGTTTTTAGTTTTTTGAGATTTCCATAATGATTGCATCCATTTACAATCCTGCCAACAGAATAGGAGGGCTCCCTTTTCCCACACTTACTCCAACACTTGTTACTTGTCTTTTTTTAATAGTCATTCTCACATGTATGACATGATTGCATTGATTTGCAGTTCCCATTAACAGGATATAATAAGAGATGGCTATCTGTAGGTCTTCATTGGAGAGGTGTCCATTCAGATTCTCTGTTCACATTGAGATGAGATTTTTTTTTTATGTTATTGAATTGTATTAATTGTTCATATATTTTTGTTATATATCCTTTGTTTGATGTATAATTTGAAAATATTTTCTCCCATTCAGCAGGCTGCCTTTCCATTTTGATGATAGCTTCTTTTTCTGTACAGAAGCTTTTTAGTTTGAAATGGTTCTATTTTTCAAAAAAATTTTACTTTTGTTTCCCTTGCCATTGGAATTGAACCCCCAAAGACATCTTTAAGGTCCACACAAATGAGCTTATTGCCTATAGTTTCATCAATGTATTTTAAGATTTCATACCTTACATTCAACTCATTATTTCGAATTAACTTTTGTGTAGGTGCAAGAGAGTAGTTCAGTTACATTCTTTACACAGACTGTCCAGCTTTTAAACAAGCATCATTTATTGAAGAGATTTTCTTTAATGTTCTTATCTCCTTTGTCACAGATTACTTTTCCATATATGAGTGAAGTGAGCTTATCTCTGTGCTTTCGGTTACATTCCATTGAGCAAAATTCTGTTTTTAGTTCAATATCATGCTGTTTTGGTTGTTTTTGCAGATATCTCCATTTTTGTTCTTTTTTTCTCAGAATTATTTTGGATATTTAGGGGATATCAGGTATCAGTATATGTGTATGGCTTTTGTATCTGTCTTTCTACATATTCAGTTATTTGTGTATCTTTCTGTTAGTGTGCCTATGTTTAGGTACTGTCCCTTTTCTCTTTTAACGATTTGTTATGTTTGTGTTTAATATACTCAATTAGAAAAGTTTTTATATTTTACATTAATCTAGAGACCATTTTTTGCTCACAAAAAGTATCTCTTCCAAATATGTTAGTTTTTTTTTTTTTTTTTTTTGGTTTTTGGTTTTTTTTTTTTTTAAAGATTTATTTATTTTTATACAAGAACCGGGGTCCAGGCCAGATGCGCAGGAGGGTGAGAGGATTCACCTGAGACAGAGCGGGGAACAGAACAGGCAGACTGACGAAATACACTGCTGAGGGGAGCAGCGGGCAAGACAGGAGAGGTCTGCTTCGCCATGTGGGATTCTCACTGGTCCGCCAGAATGGAACCCACACTGCAGAGGCTGCGGACAGCTTCACTATGCGGTGCTCAACCGCTTGTGCCACCAGGGAGGCCCTATGTTAGTTTTTTGATAAATGAATTTTTTTTACCTCTCTTGTTAAAAATTCCCCTTAAGATAGTTTTGTTCTGATATAGCCCTCCTTTCCCATTATTAAGAGGGAAACTGTAAAGATTTCCTTAAGACTTGTGTCCCTTTACTAATTCCAAATGGACTGACTATTATGAGACAAATTTTTCTTCCTAGTCTAATGCAATTTACATTTTCTTTATTTGGTTTCCTCTTTAATATCTTGGTTGATTGATTAGTATTTTTGAACCACTAGCCATTCACATGCATTAATTAGGAAAACATTGTATATTGTCTGATTTACATTTACTTATTTTGGAGACCCACACATTAGAACCTCTGAGAATGATGATTCAAAAATGATGAATTTGAACACTATTTCCTCAGATGTGATTTTTAACAATCTTTAGAGTTTTTATAAGAAATAAATTCAGGGCCTCCCCGGTGGCGCAGCAGTTGAGCGCTGGGTTGCGAAGCTGCCTGCAGCTTCTGCAGCACTGGTTCAATCCCCGGCTGCTCTCCGGCCACTGGAGGAGGGTCCCGCATGGTGCGCAGACCTCTCCTGCCGCCCGCTGCTCCCTTCAGCAGAGTACTTCGGTCCTTCTGCCTGCTCTGCTCCCCGCTCTGGCTCTGGTGAATTCTCTCACCCTCCCGCGCTTCTGACTGTACCCAGTGCTTGTATAAATAATAAATAAGTAAATCTTTAAAAAAAAATAGTAGGTAAATCATAAAGTAGAGAAATGGGCAATGATTTTTTTTAAATATCCTTTATTAACAGAAAGCAGTAAAACTGCTAATTTTTATTAGAATTTATAAGTTGCATGGTCATCATGTAGGACAATGATTAAAGTAACTATAAAATTATCAAAATAAAAACAACATAACAATAAATCAAAAGAAAATATTTGTTATGCGCCATAGCTCAGGTTAAAGTAAAAAAGACTAAATACAAAACAGCAAAGAAGTAGAAAAATGGCAATATTTGTGTTAAATGTGTATGAAATTAGTGTATTTAAAATATTAAAATTGTCAGGTTGTTGTATTGAACTTCTTTGATAACTTAAATGGAGATAAACTTAATTACCAAGATAGTAAAAAACTGAAAGAAAGAAGAATAACGATCATAAGTTGAATTGCTGACTGATTTGAAATTCTTTAAGTTCTACAAAGCCATGGAAAATGGGATAGTTACCATTTTAACTTCAACTGGGAAAAGAATTATAATGGCAAAGGTATCAGTGAGAAATAGTTTTGAAAATATGTTTGTTCTGGTTATTACACCCCACTGAGTCTTATATGTTTGGCAGACATTCCACTCCAAGTTATAGATTTGGCAATAATTTTTCTTAACTTACAAACTTGGCTTTTTTCTTTTTAAGAACATAACAAAACACAAGTCAGAAGGCCAGACACTGGTGGCCGTTTGGCTCATTGATTTATCCTTAGCAATGAGAATGATTGAAGACATACAATAGACACAAAATGAATACAAATCAAGTGACTAATAAAATGAATAAGTGAATGTGTGAACAAAAGCGTGAATGAAGTCAAATTTCCAGCACCATATTTGTCAAATTAATTCAACACAAAAGACACCTCATTGTATGTATGTTCTTTCCTCAGAAAAGAAGCAGCCTCATGCCATCAAGGACTCTATGCCAAGACAAGCACTCAGTGGTCACTCATCTCTCTTCCAGGTTAACCCGTTAGTCTTTGAACTTGAGATTCAATGAAATTTCACAAGTATTAGAGTCCATTAACCCATAGCTAAGAACAAATCCACTTCTATTGCAACCTGCAGCATTCGTTAAAGCCAGGAGACACTTGTTAGCAAGAACACAGGTCTTCCAAGATACCTCAAACTCCTTAATCAAATAGCATGGTAGAAGTCTTACATTTTAGTAAAGACATGGAGCACTCTCTCTCTTATCTGTTTGGTCCTTACACCATAAATGATGGGGTTGAGTGAAGGCGGGATCACCAAATAGATATTGGCAACAAGAATGTGGATATAGTGGGGTATGTTGTGTCCAAATCGGTGAGTGAGGAAGGAGAAGACGGAAGGGATATAGAAAACACCAAGGACTGCAACATGGGAGCCACATGTGCTCAGGGATTTGAGCCGTGCCTCCTGGGATGGGAGGCGGAAGACAGCACGGAGAATGTAAATATAGGAGATTCCAATAAGAGTCAGGTTCAAGAGAAAGAGAGCCACCACAAAGAGCCCATAGATAACGTTGATGCTGATATTTCCACAGGATAGTTTTGCAATGCCCATGTGCTCACAGTAGGTATGAGGTATTATATGACTCTGACAAAAGGGTAGGCGATAGACGAGATAGACCATGGGGAGCATACACAGGACTGGGCGAATCACAATGCATATGCTGATGCCCATCAGGACCCGGGATGTCAAGATGGTCGTGTAGTGGAGAGGAGAGCAGATAGCCACATAGCGGTCAAAGGCCATGGCCAATAAAACCTCAGCTTCCATGCCAGTGAAAGTATGGATTAGAAACATCTGGGCCACACAAGCTCCAAAGTTAATCTCATGAGCATCAAACCAGAAGATGCCTAGCATGCGGGGCATGGAAGTGGTAGAAAGCGCTAGATCTATTGTCGACAGGATGGCCAGAAAATAGAACATGGGCTCCCGGAGACTCTGCTCTGTCTTGATGACCATCAGAATTGTGGCATTGCCCAGTAAAGCCACAAGGTAAACAGAGCAGAAAGGCAGCGAGATCCAAGCGTGGACCTCTTCCAGACCTGGGATTCCAACGAGGAAAAATGTGGTTGGGTGGAAAATGCTACTGTTGTGTGTCATCCTGTCAGTGCAAAGGAGGGGAAGCCAGTTCTCCTGTAAGGAGGAAAATGAGAGAGATGGAGCAGGGAGGTCTGACGGGAGAGGAAAGAGGGAGGGGAGAGAAAGGAGAGAGAGAGAGAGAGAGAGAGAGAGAGAGAGAGAGAGAGAGAGAGAGAGAGAGATCAGAAAAGATATCCAAAGGAGAAGATAAGGTCAATCATTTTCAGCACAGAGTTGAGGCCCTATTTACTGTATGAGCACACAGATTAGTAAATGACAATTGAACTATCCCCATAGCCATTTGATAGGTCAGGCCAGGGTCATGTTTTGAGTTTCTATTCTGCCTGCTGATTGAGTTCTGTTTCCAAACACGGAGGCTTGCAGCAAGCTCAATGCAGATTTCTAATAACTAGAGCTTGTCATCATTTGAAAGTGTATAGGATATTATTCAAAACTGGGAAATCCACTTTCTGGTGAGTGACACTGAAAACATCAATGCTATATATGTGGTCAAGATAATATATACAAAGGTAATAAAAAGGCTTTATGCAGTCAAAAATAAAAAAAAAACCACCACATGCTGTTGTAGGGTACTCACACAATCAAAACATTAGTTCTGATTCCTCCTTAGTCATTGGCACAGAAACACACATGCACAAACTCAGATTCAAAATAGTCGCATGTTCTCAGACAAGTGCTGGCCCCTTCAGATTTCTGGCCAGGAACAGAATCAGCCATTGCATGATTTAAAGATTGCATAGAGTATCCTTTGGGAAAGGAAAGAAAAATATCTGTCTAATGTCATTTTAATACTTATTCACTATCCACAACATAACAGTACTCACAGAGCTGTGGCTAATTTTACTGCTGCTATACAGCGAATACTTACGTGGTCACTCCCCTACCAGTTCAAGACACTGGAAATTTGGGTAGATGGTTTTGTTACCAGACTGATTTTTTATTGTTCTTGGGGAGAGCAGTGTCTCAGCAGAGAAGAATCTACTCCTGCAATGATATAAAGGAATTGGAGATACTTAAGTCAGGCCTTCAAAATGCTACCATACGAATCAAGCCGCTCATAGTGATGTAAAGAGACTTACCCTGGCAAATGTGATACAGTAGTTGTAATTAAAAATGAATCATAGAAATCTTGGCTTTTGTCCTTGCCATAGCTTCATTATCTTACCATATTTAATTCTTTTTTTAATCTCATATAAAAACCACACCAAGGTGAAAAAATAAACTATCTTCTGTGTATGTAATTCAACACAGAGAGAAAATGCTGCAGTGGGAACTGGCTTTTTGTTATACAAAAACATAGACACCCTGGTCAATTAAATATCACTGCCTTGTAGAAAGATGATGACTGAGACCAAACTGCAGCATCCTTGTTTATTTTAGAGCAATATGAGATCCCATTGTCAACAGTACTTCTCCACTTGCCTTATTTCTTTCTGCTGCTATAGAAATATATTTCACCCAATGTGATTGACATGGTAATATTAAATGTCTTGGATCTTTGTGAGAGATTTTAAAGATAATCTTATCATTTTAAAACTTTAAAAAAATAAAATAAAAGCCGTCTTTTTCCTGCCTGGTTCAGGTTTGCTGCATGGTCCAGGTCCCAGCGTGCTTTGCATACTTGTCTCCCCATTTATTGCTACATGTATTCAGCAGAAATCACCAACTCATTCACCTCTTCTTTCCGTACAAATCAGGGATTAGACACAGCATCAAGCAGCACGTCCTTATTCCTCTTCCTGAACAGTGCATGAAGTCTTATTTGTACTAGGCTTAAGGGATATTTCTGAGCTTACATTCCACTTTAATCCCAACTTTATAAATAGCTGTGGGACTCAGTCCTCAGAGACTGCTTACAAACTTCTAGATTCTACAACAACAAAGATGTCCAAGGAATATAGAAGCAAACTTATATGTATGTAAATAAAAGTTTAAAAAGTGGGCATGTAATATAAAGTTAATGTCATTTATACTTGACACATATAAAACAAATATGTTGTATCTCTATTTGAAGTGATTAAGTGGCCCAATTCTATGACTTACTAACCTACAAATAGATAAAACTTGTTAATTTCAAATATTTTAACTTGCACTAAAACTATCATTCTTCCTTTTTTACTGTCTCTTCAAAAGGAGGTATGTTGACAAACAAATGAAGACAAATAACCAACTTTATTATTGATAAGCTGAAGACTGAGATGCATTCTGTTTAGATATACTCTACAATGGAATTTCTAAACTGATCTACAGAAATAAGTCTGCTAATCCCATCATAGGCTGTATGAGAAGAGGAATCTAAACGTGAAGTCTAGTGCTATAAAACACAGCAAGAAGGATAATTTATATTCCTTCTAGGCTATTGGTTTCTATAATAAACACAAAAGGAGACTGCAGTCAGAAGAATCAACTATTTTATAAGTCATCAAAACCAATAAAAATATCTTCCTCCACGTGGAAAGAAAGGGGTGATTGGATACAGAATATTTCAGTAAAAATACCTCTAATGGGGAATATTTAAAAAATACAAATTGTTTCCTGAATAATTTCTTCATTTTTATAATGACTTACTATTCTCAAATATTTATATTGCATGTCATCCTGACCTTGTTCTTTGAAAACTATCATAATAATAATGATAGTTTCTTAAGTATTCCAATTGTTCTGAAAATAAGATGGGGTAATATTTTTGTTTTTATTTTGGTTGTTTATTTTTCATTATTTTTAAATCTGCATTGTATGGCTTCTTTGGATATTGCCTATTTATGTCTTCTGCCCAATTTTTGATCAGGTTAGTCGCTTTTTTGTGGTTGAGCTGTATGAGTTCGTTACAGATCTTGGATATCAGCCCCTTGTCAGATGTATGATAAGTATATGTTTGGTAGTAGCTGTAGAATTTTTAGCATACAATTTTAATGTATCACAATCTATATTCCAGTAACATTGTAGTGCTTTGTTTATATGTATAAGAAACATAGAATGTTAACATTACCCATCTTTTCATGGATAAACAATATTACATTGCTTAATATTGTTTTAAAATAAAACATGATATTCTTTAACATTTTCTTCTTCAAGAATGGCTAAAATTTAAATAAGGCTTAGTCTTCTTGACACTGGAAAGGAACTGAAACCCTCACGCTTGTTGATAGAATATGAATGAACTACTACTGTGTTAGAAACCTGTATGATATCATCTACCAAACTAAATATGTACCTTTATTATGACCTCAAGATTCCACTTCAGGAGAAATAATTTTATTTTCAAACAATCAAACACAAGTAAGTAAACTTTATTCATAACAGTGTTACATTAAAAACAGTTTCATTATTCATAAACGGAAGAGTAAATATAGCATTCTTATTTCATTCATTGTCATCTGAGCACTAACATTTTAATCATTTACTAGGTGTTTCTAATGCCCGGCAAAGAGTGAACCACTCAAATAGTAGAGAGCTAAACATGGCTTATAGTTAGGTATTATTTACAAAGATACCAAGTATCTGGGTCTTCTGAATCATTTCTTCTCATTGATGTCATTCTGCCACATTGGGGTTTTAAAAGACAAATGTTGTTTTGGTTTTATTTTACATTTATTTTAATTTTACTTTGTTTATTCCTGCCAAATGACATTTCTTCAAAACTTAAAGGAAGGGAAACATTCCCTTCTGTTTATTTTATTCATAATGATTCTTGGAGTACCATGTGGACTGGCACATGACCCATTTTTGCCAATTACATGAAATTAATATCTCTGAGTATCATGATCAGTTCTGGTTTAATGACATTAGGTAATGTGAACTGTGAAATCCTTTCCCTAGATCTCTAAGTGAAACCTATAATGGAAATTTTCTTTTCTCTTTTCTCAAAGCAAGCTTTAAACAGTGATCCCCACTCTCACTTCCAGTTTCTAATTTCTCCATCTGGCAATCATTTTTGTCACCATGTGGGTTAGCTTCATTCAAAATACTGAAAGCAGTGGGGACAAGAGATAAAGAGATTAAGAGCTGTTGATGCTAAGGATCTCTTTCAAGCATTTAGAGTGCTATAGGCCCCCATGCTCTTGCAACTTTCATTTCAAATATGTGAACCCTGATGTGTGAACCTTGCCCCAAATTGCTATTGCTTTGCTAAAATAATAACTTTTAGTTTTAAAATCACAGGTTATGGAGGGTGTATCTTGCAGGAACTTTTTATTTGCAGAGTAGAATATTAATTAGTGAAATTGGTGCTTATGTAAAGCAAATCTTAGTCAGGGAACCATTAATGACAACCTGAATAGATCTCTTATATACATGAGATTTCTTTTTTTAAAAAAATACATTTAGTATTTTCTGAATACTATTTTGGCAAACTTTTACTTTCATATTTTTCCTAAGTGATTAATTGCTAAAACAGATGATCTCTGTATCAGTAGATTTTCCAGACATAAGCTAATTGATTCTTTGCTTTCAAGCATATATTTTATTCATAGCTACAGAATTCATTAAGACTAGTCTACTTTTTACAAACATACAATAAACAATTAGTATATTATAGCCACTTAGATTAGGCACTAACAAAAATTGAAAATAAAATTTACCTTTAAAGTTACTTACATAATAATTTAAGATACAAATAATACAGAAGTAACCCTGTTGGTAAGGGTTAAACACTGGCAAATAAAGGATGCCAGACGAGCTTCAGTGAGGGACAGAGAACTCAATATGCATACCAGTAGATGGAATTTCTGAAATTTATTGTAGACAGTTAAAAATACAAATGAATAAAATGTTACATTTTTAGTTATTTTTGCATTTAACTTCAGTTGTCTTGTACATTCAATATATTCAAATAGTCTTCAAAATACTGGAGGACAGCAGTGGCCCTTCTGCCTGCCTATGACCATGCAGGCCTCTCTCCTAGCAAACCTGTCCCTTTCAGGGGCTGCTCTTTCTGCCACTTGTGTCTATTTAAGTGTCCTTGATTTTTCTCTCCCTTTTCATAATAAATCTACCTTTTGGATATAAAACAAAAACAAAACACTGGAAGACAGAGACATTTTTAGTAGTTTGAGTTGCTGATACATCAGCGGATGCACAAATGCATCAACACACAACCAGTCTTCAAAGAATGCTGACTCTAGGTGTGGCTGTGGAAGTGCATTTAATCTCTGAGCACACCTCAGTCCCTCCTCATCTTTCCTGGGTAATTGGGGCCATGACTTTTCACTCCAAGATGAACATTTAAAAAATGGCATACATTAAAATTTTCTTTAATTATAATTAGGATTCTCTGCTAAAACTAGTATTGATATGTTCATACTACTGGTGGACAGATTGTATAAAGAGGTAAACAGTGGGAAAGGCAGTGGGGAATCAAAGTTATAATTTAACTGCCAAGCCTGACTCATCTAACCTAGAATGTCATTTCTTAATCAAATTATTCCAGCAAACCGTGACAGGTTTACTGATATGCCATGTATCATTGAATGCAATCTCTATTACTTCACTGTCATTCATGATCCCAAGTGAGTTGGACTTTTATTAGAGTTGAATTTTCCCATCAATCCTGTTTTTCACATAATTTTGCCAAGATTAGATTTCGAATCTGCTGACTCTTCACACAGTACACAATGGGATTCATCAGAGGGGGGATAAGAAGGAAGATGTCAGCTATTAAGACCTTAATAACTGGAGAAGCATTTTTGGCAAAGCGGTGAATGATAGCCAAGGTGACAATAGGCACATAGAAGATGAGCACAGCACAGAGATGGGAGATGCAAGTGTTGAGGACCTTGAAGCGACCCTTGTGTGAGGCAATGCCCAGGACAGTTCTCAGGATCAGCATGTAAGACACAGAAATGCACAACAAATCTAACATAGCTGTTAGAGCCACAAACATTCCATAGATGATATTGACGCTGTTGTCAGAACAGGCCAGCTTCATGACATCCTGGTGGAGGCAGTAGGAGTGGGATAGAAGGCTTTTCTTACAAAATTTCAGCCTCTTTAAGATAAAAGGAAAAGGGAAAACATATAAGATACTTCTGATTGCCAATGCAAGGCAAATTTTAACTACCCTGTCACTGGTGAGGATGGATGTGTATCTCAGAGGGTTGCAGATGGCTATAAAGCGATCCATGGACATGATAAGAAGAACTGATGACTCCATAGCTGAGAATCCATGAATGAAAAACTCTTGGGCAAAGCAGGCATCTGGGGAAATTCCAGTGGCATTGAACAAGAAGATTCTCAACATAGTTGGAAGGGAGGAGATGGACAGCCCCAGGTCAGAAAAGGCCAGCATGAGGAGAAAATAATACATAGGCTCATGCAGAGTGGTCTCTGTTTTTATAAGAAAGATGATGATGCAGTTCCCCAGCATGGCAATGAGGTACATGAGGCAAATTGGGATGGAGACCCACATGTGAGCGTGTTCCGTCCCTGGGATCCCAGTGAGGAAGAAAGTAGAGATTTCCTCTTCAGATGTGTTGAAGACTGACATTGCAAAAATGTGAGGGAATCAGGATATGGTCCTAAGAAAAATTTTTCTGCAATGGCATAAATTAATTTGCTTAAGTGTGCATCTGTTTAGTCATTTGTGTTGTTCTTGGTGAGTAGAAACTTTGAGAATCCAGCTGTTTTATAAAATTCTAGGACTAAAACAAAGCATTGTGTAAAATATGGACAGGAGAAATATCATGGCACATATGAGTATGATACCAAGAGAAAAATGAACATCTGTTTGCCCCATGCATATTCATCAATAGATGGATTAAAATATTTGAAAAATATTTCCCTGGAATCAGCACATATATCTGTGCATATATCATTTCTTACCTCACATATATCATTTCTTACCTCTAGACTCACAGTCCATCAACTGTTGCATATACCTTTTGTGTTTCTGACCTTTTACTCCTGTGAGTACTTCTCTTGAGCTTTAGAATTTCTTTTCCTGGGTTTAATTCCATCTCTCTAGATTGAACACCTTGCTTAGTTTCACTTCTATCTCTAAGTTGCCTGCTAGCAATTTCGTGATAAATATATCACAGACAATTTTTTAAGCAAAATGGCATGGAAGAATAGGTTAGATAATGATGAGAATTTTAAATGCAACTAGCATACAAGAAAAAATAAAACCCTTATAAACAATTGATTGAATGATTAATTACATTCATGTCTGGAAGACACTCACCACAGTATCAAAGACCATATGTGCACACAGTTCCTACCAAAGGCCTTTGTGTTAGGGTGTCAGCTTTGTCTTCCTGTAAGATAGTTTAGTTATTCTATCTCTTCTTAACAAAAGTCAAAATGAAGCCAAAGTTAAATGGCTTCACTGACTTGTAAAACCCTCCCTCTTCCCTGTCAGACTGTGACACAGATTGAGCCTCTTAAACATCCTTATCTGTCCCCTCCCCCCATTTTTGCTCTATGTTACTACTTGTTGGGTTGATTAGCTCCTAAACACATATATCACAATGCTCCTTGCTTCTATGTTATTGCTTTAGAAGATCATCTGAAAGGAAAGATACAAAGATCTATTGAAAGCAATCATTAGGCAAATATACATATTGGCATATTGGAATACAACAGCAAAATTCTTTTTTTATAAATAGGAGAAAGTAAGACAGAATTTGGTATTTTTCAATATTACAAAACTTAAGCAACACCTATTTTTCTCTCCTGCTTTGAATAAGAGTTGATATTGTTTTCGTCGCTATCAATTTGTTTTCTAATTTGTTTTAACCCTGTCTACCTAGTGAACACAAAGTAACCCACAAACTCTTAGTCAAGGGTTAGCTCGGTAATGAGAATAATAGAAACTCAGTCCACATGGTGCACTTGTTGGGAATATTGTTGTCTTTTCTCCTTCTAGCTATGTTATCGCATGCAATCATGTATCATCTCTGTGTCCATTGATGTATGCTGAGCAAATGAGAAATCATATCCTCAACTTGGAGGCCTCTACCTTAAAATTAAAGCATTAAATGGAATTTGTACAAAACCCTTCCCTGCATGACTTTAAAAAACCCATACATCATTTTTGTTATAACATTGAATTAGTTTCTTGTTTATTAAAAGAAGAAAATGTACAGCAAAGATTTAAACCTAGTTAGAATACTGAATTAGGAAATACTAAGGAGACAGAAACTTTGAGTGCACATTACTGCTCTCTGGCTGATGTCCATTGCAAATTCAGTGGTCTGACATAAATGCACCCAGAAACATCTTACAAAAACAATAACTTTATGCTCAGCTAATATACCACCCAGGGACAGGTCTAGGTGCCTGGTTGTTTTTATTCATCAGTACACAGCAAGTTTATAAAGGAAAAGAGAAAAAGGAAAGAGAGATGCTTGTACAGATGCAGGCAACAGAGAGTTGCCTCTGCTGCTTTGCAAAGGGAAAAGGTTTGAGAAAAGAAATATCTGCATAGTCATAGAGGGGAGGAGAGCTGCCCAGGTACCTGCTTTGTATGTTTTTCTGTGCTCACCCACTAACACTAGCTTAGAACCTACTTCATCCCCATAAGTTAGCAGGATGATTAAGTCCCACCCATCTTTTTATACGCATTTTTGGGCTTCTTGTAGATCTGGCTAGAGAATACATCCTAATTACCTGAAGATCACCATCAGATAGACAATGTGAAAAATCTTGCTTGAGCTGATGCAAAGGCAAGTATTGGTGATGAATATTAGGAAACTTACCAGTATGTGGGTAGGTAGATCATGGGGCCACTTGTTGGAGTGAGGAGGAAATAGAGGTGGCACAGGTGGCACAGACCCATCAGATTTTCACCGCTGCTTAACAACAGTTTTTTATCCCAATCTAGGGAATCTATTCATGTCTCCCTGAAGCTTTCCCAGTGATTAAAAAAAAAAAAAAGAAAAAGAAAGAAAGAAAACCTCTGGGAATTCCAGTTCAGCAGCCTGTACTCAGAGGAAAATAAAACTCCCTGCAAGTGAACACTCAAAGGGAATTGAAGAGCATGAGTGGTAAACCTCCTATCAAGGAAAGAATAATTTGTGGTCAATACCCTTAGGCATCGTCTACTTCCACTGGTGGAATTATGATCCTCTCTTTTGTGATAGAGAACACTAGGTGGATAATCTTAGATGAAATCACAGTGTACAAAGTCTATGCCTCTAGGCATCTGCCCCCTCCACTAGATTATATTCCCTTAAATTTATAGGTGCTTCTTTCTATTTATTGAAAAGCACTTGAAAATTTAATTTTCACCTAACATCTTTCAAAGTAGTGTTTTTCAACTAGAGATGCACTTTTGATTTCAGTTTTCAAGTTTTGTATTAAAAAAAAAAGATGTAAGTCTCTTCCAGGATCACTCATAGTATCTCATACTTGATATTCTTGGTATAGTCTTAATAATTTTCAGTATATTATTTATACTATTGTCCATGATCATTATATTAAATCTTAAGTTTTTTCCTATTTAAAAATTATGCTTATCCACTCTGGTACAGCAGAAGTAAAATTCACTTTCCTTGAAAATGGACTTTGGGCCTACCCTGGTGGTGCAGCGGTTGAGTGCTGGGCTGCGAAGCTGCCCGCAGCCTCTGCAGCGCCAGTTCGATCCCCAGCCACCAGGAGAGGGTACCACATGGCACGCAGACCTCTCCTGCTGTCCACTGCTCCCCTCAGCAGTGTACTTCGGTCCTTCTGCCTGTTCTGCTCCCCGCTCTGGCTCTGGTGAATTCTCTCACCCTCCCGTGCTTCTGACTATACCCAGTCCTTGTATAAATAAATAAATCTTAAAAAAAAAAAAAAGAAAATGGACTTTATCATTATCCTGAGAGATATTTTGTCAAAAAGATTGTAGTAATGACTTTATTGTCTTGTTGGTGATGCCACAGAATAGGCAATTTTAGTTAATGGCATTATTTATGTTATCAACTCATCAAAAATTTTACATTTGACAGTTATCAGTAATAAATTAGCCATGACCATTTAAAGATAGATTTGGCTAAATTAGCTTCACTCTTTTCCTGTTATTGACTCTAATGCATTTGCAAAGTTTCTGATATCATCAGCAGGCCAGAGTTTGGTCCTCGACAGACAAAAATGCCATCAGAGTCAAAGGAATGTAAGGATAAACTTGGAAGGATAAACTCAGATAACTATCAGGCTGAGTCAGGATCCTCAGGACAGTTTTTAATTTCACAGTAGTTGGCTTCACAAGATTGCTCAGCCGTTGTTCACAGAACTAGAAGTAACTACTCAGTGATGAACTGAAGAGGAACATCTTACTGTGTTTACTTGGAGTATTGCCAATGGCTCTTTATGTTTTATTTTCTGAATTTATAAATAGCAGAGGGTCTTTCTCTTTCTTCTCCAGTAAACTATGGAGAAGTCTATTGCAATCTAATAGACTATGCTTTTGTAAACTAAAATTAAGTGTATTAAAATTAACTTGATTTTGATTGAATTCTCAGACTTCACAAACTTTATTGAGTAGCCATTGGTTTTTATGACAATGTATTATTTGCATACATGTATTAGGAATCTGACCTTATTTTAACCAAGAAAATTGATAAAATTGGTTATGCAACCAAGGATTTTCCTTGAATGCTTTGTTGGAGAACATTGCTCATTTAATCAGATATTCCCAGCCACATTTGGTGATTGAAGACTATTATGGAACTAACGCCAACAAAGCCCTCTAAGGAAAATTGTCCTGGTTTCTGGTATAGCGGTAATAAGGAAGGTTGCCTCCTGACAAGGGAGAATCCTAGAATGCTTTACAAACTTTAAGAAAAAAAATATTGTCTTAATGTACATGTACATAGAGGAGCTATTGATGAACAGAGTATCTGATATGAACTTCTTAGCATAGGTAGAGCGTATGAAGGCTTTAAATGCCTTTAGAGACCTTAAATTGAGATTCCAAATGGAAACTGCCAACACTGAAATTAAAGAAGGCCCTTATGGTAATTAACATTCTTATTACATGTGTGAAGATAACAAAGCAAAATTGGAGAACCTTATTTTGTGACCAAGATTTTTTCACTGAACTATTTTATTAAAATTGTAGTCACATTGTAAGGGAAAAAATTGTTCTCCAAAGGAAAACTTCTTTATGTGTAGTCTATCCTTATAGGTTACCTGATTTTAATTATGTGCAGACTAAGTATTAGGTTGCCCGAGATAGTTTCCACTCTGTATACTGCATGTACAAATAGAAATTAAAGCCATTCATGTTGTAGACATGTAAATAACTTCTATCAGGTGAAATTTCAATTGACACCCATCCCACATTGTAGAAGAACCATATTTGTATCAGTTGCAAACATTCCAATCCTGATATGAGGTGAAAGATGAACATTTCCCTTTTGTGGGTTTGCCTTTGAATGTATCCTACATTTGCCTACTTCCTTCATTAAAACGAAGTTAAATGAGATATTTAGTGCATGCTCATCTCATATCTGTGTGAAAGACATGATTTTAACCTTTTTATGAACATTAATCTTTATCATGGCTTATATTATTGCACCAAAGAGACAGACTATGTGCACAGATAAGGCACTAAATAGAGTTTCCCTAGAAACCTCCAAGATAGGAAGCTGGATACCCTGAAAAACTTAAAAAATGATACTTCAATGCATATAACAAATGAATGAAACACTTGATTTTTTTGTAAACTGTGTATGAGCACAGAGTGTGTTTATGTGGGGGTACACATTTGTAGGTGCCACTAAACATCTATCTCTATTTTAGTTTCTGGGATGTATATCTTATATAGGTCAACATTGTGTGTTGAAGAAGGATATTTAAATCAAGAGGCAATCATCAGTCAAGGTTCCCATGACATTTTGTTAAACATGATTTTTAGGTGTGTCTAACAACTGTGATTCCAAATGAAATTAACATTTGAATCCATGTTTTAATAAACCATTTGCCGTCCCTAATATGGGTAGGTATCAGCTAATCAGTTGGGGGTCTGAATAGAACAAAAGAGTAAAGGATTTAAGACTTCTGTTCTTCCAGAAGATTATTTGAGTCAGATTATTTGAGTTAGCATGTCTTTATTTGCCATTGACATCCTGGTTCTTAGGCCTTTGGACTTGACTGAAATCTGCACCATTACCTCCCTTGGTACTCAGGTCTTTAGATTTGCACTGAATTACACCACCAGCGTTCATGGGTCTCCTGCTTGTAGATGACAGATTAGGGACCTTCTCAGCTTCCACAGTTGCATGAGCCAATTCTTATAATCACTCTCTCTTAATATATTATTGATTTTGTTTTATTGGTGAAACTTAACTAATACAAAGGTATTGACAAGATCAAACATAAAAATATTGTTAATTCAGATATATCTATCTTAATTTAATTGATTGATGACATCTATAATTTGAACATCAGAGCAACCATTTTTCTCCAGAATGGGAGATAATTGCTGGACCAGGGAGTCTGGAAGAACAGCACTGGTTTAGAGTCTTTTATGTCTCCAGAGTCTGTAGCTAGCAGAACTTGGGTGCATTTTATTAAGCATGCAAGTAATTGTATAATTATATTATATTTATTTGGGATATATTTAAAACAATTTAATGCATAAGAATTTAAATTTGGTGCCTTTTGTTGTGAGTTCAAGGTCCTACTATGGAAAATAAATGCTATATGGGTCAATATGTAGAAGCCCTCTTAACCACTTATATTGCACCATAAAATGAAATGTTATTCCACCATAAAAGAATGAATAACTAATATATGCTACATCAGTATGCTGAGTGTAAAATTAAGTCACAATTTACCACATAGATTATTACCTTCATAGGGAATTTTTGTGAAAAGAAAGAGAACAGGTAAATCTATTGAGCCTGAAAGCAGATTAGTGGTTGCTTCAAACTAGGTAGAGAATATGGAGGAAGGTAACAGTTAAAGAGTATGAGATTACTTCTTGAGATAATAAATTGACTATTTTGATGGTTGTATATATCTATTAATATATTTAACTGTATACTTTAAATGGTGCATTTTATAGTACCTAAATAATATCTCAGAAAGGTGTTAAATTTTCAAACAAATATAACAATACTTAGCAAACTAGATTCCTGAATATTGTTTCTCAGAATAAAGGAATAGAGGAAAGATATACTATGTCTAACATTAATCAAGAGGAATTTAGGGACTCTATATTAATTTAAATTAGCATACTTTAAAATGAAAAAATATCAAAGTTAAAGAAAGGTATTATATGTTGATTAAGTGATTGTTTAGACAAGGAGATATGCAGATCTTAATATCTATGTACCTAGCAACAGAGTAACAAATAAGTAACTGCAATAAGCCTAATAGAACATCAAGAAGTAGACAAATTCATTATGGCAGCTGAAGCCTCTCACATCTCTATTTCAGTAACTGACAGATCAAAAGCAAAAGACGAACAGAAGCCTAGGTCTCAGAAGTAGCTAGACTACGCAGATTATGAGGGTCTCTGTAGGATTCTAGATACAGAACCAGGATATTTCTTGATTATTTGTGAACTCTCCAAATCTGTTCAATTATTTTGACTCAAATTTGCTTCCTTTTATACCTCTGAAAATGTTCTGAGATTCATTTATTTATCATTTTCTCTTGATAGAAGTCTTTTTGCTGGGAATATTTTTCTCTCCCAAAGAGAATATCAAAACATGCATTTAAATATTTTCATAAGAAAGTCAAGAGCATGCGGAAATATTATTGATGTAGACTACAGTATCTTTCACACTAGACTAGTTCGTATTGAAATCTAAATCTTCAGAAACTGAGAACTTGACATGATATAATGAATAACGTCACTAGATTATTGATTAAATGAAGCTTTCAATTTCATGACAATTTACTACTGATTATTAGAAGAAAAGTCACAGTTATGTTAAAATTTGCCTAACATGGGTTTAGTGACCCTATTTACTCATATGTCAATATGAATACAAAATAGAAGCATAATTTTTCTATATAGTCAAAAGATAAGGTCCTCTATATTATAATTGATATTTATATCTAGTATCTTAAAGGTAAAATATTATTGTAATATTTAAATTCAATAATCTGTAGCAATATGAAATACTATCATAAATATATATTTTACCATCTCCCTTATCTAAATTTTCTGTTGCTTGAATTTCTTAAGGATTCTGTCATGAATCTGCTTGGTCTTGACACTGTAGACAATGGGGTTCATGAAGGGTGGAACCAGCAAGTAAACATTGGCCATGAGCACGTGGACAATGGGGGATGCATTTTGCCCATAACGACGGATCATAGAGAGCCCAATCATGGGTGTATAGAATGTGAGCACTGCACAGATGTGGGAAATACAGGTATTGAGTGCTCTCACCCTCTCTGTCTTAGAGGCTATACTCAACACTGTGACAAGGATGAGGATATATGAGAGAAGGAGGAGCACTGAGTCAAGTCCCATAGAGAAGATAACCACCATGAGGCCATAGATGCTGCTGACCCGACGGCTGGATACAGTAGTCTTTATGAGATCCTGATGCAAGCAGAAAGGGTAGGAGAGAATATTGATAGCACGATATTGAAGTCTCTTTAGGAGGAAGGAAGCTGGAAAGACTAGAGCCAAAGCTCTTCCAGCAATAGCCAAGCCAATCCCAATGATTACACCATTGGTTAAAATGGCTGCATAGCGCAGGGGCTCTCGGATTGCTACAAAGCGGTCAAAGGCCATAGCCAACAGCACAGCCGACTCAATAATTGAGAAAACATGAATGAAGTACATCTGAATGAGGCAAGTATTGAAGGAGATCTCCCGGGCATGGAACCAGAAGACGCTGAACATGGTAGGCAAGGTTGTAGTGGATAGGCCCAGGTCAGTAAGTGCCAGCATTGATAAAAAATAATACATTGGTTGGTGAAGGGAAGGCTCAGATTTGATGATAAAGAGAATAGTAATGTTTCCTGCAATTGAGGTGACATAAATCAAGAAGATGGGGAGGGAAATCAAGCCATATCTGCTCTCAAGGCCAGAGAAACCTGTCAAGAGGAAGCGAGGGTACAGGGAAGAGCTATTGAAGACGGACATTGTACTGATGGAAGCACCTTCAGTCTAGGCCAGGAGACAAAAACATGGAACAGTTAGGATAACAGTCAATATCACAAGAGAAAGCAATGTTGTTTCATAAATTGTTCTTTGTTTACTGTTTTCAGTCTTCCCTCTGCTCATTTTACATAACTAGTCTTGTATTTATGATTTTACCAAGTAGCATATCCCTTTCTTAATTGCACATTTATAGAGAACATGTTTTACAAAAGGAAATATAGTGGTCCTAAAATATAGAGTAAAATTTTAAAATGCCTTCAAATACAATGTAGTGGGTAGAGAGAGCTAAATTAAAGTATTTAATACATAGTTATAAAAAACGCAGAAAGAGATAGCTAATCTGAACCAAGGAGGTTAGAACTACCTCACTGCAGGTAGTTCTCAAGTTAAATTGCCACTATATCATAAGAGGGCAACAAAAACCTGTAATGAGTATTATGTGCTATGACTGCAGAGAGGTTTTAGTATTACAAATATAAGTAAATAGAATTAATCAAAGTTATAAGGTAGAGTGGCTCTTCGGGTGTTTATTGTATCATTAACAATAACTGCCCTCAATTTGACACTTGCACATGATTACTTTTTTCCTTCTTGATAATCTCCCTCAAATGTTTCAATAGTTTTCAGAGTCTCCATCCTGCCTATATATGCCAGTTCTTCCCTCTCCGATCATTCTCTCTTACTACAACACATCATCAAAAACTATTAGCTATGGGCACAAAGTGCTCTGCTGTCAGTGGCTCCTATTCTAGAGTCACAGAAAATCTGATGACAACTGTCATTCACTACTCTGCTGCTTTAGACAGCTCTAAACTTTGATTATAAAAAACTAGGAATTGTATTACATTGTATAATCTGTAAGAGAATAAAGAAATATATCTAAAATGCTTGGCAGAGTTTCTGCAACCTAGAAGATTCTTTGCACTTAAGTAAGACAAAGTGTTGATCAAGTTGCTGAAGTGGTCACAATCTTAAGCGCATCACCAGACCAAGAAACAGAGATCCAAAAAGCAGGTATGACCTGCAGTGCCCAAGGAATCCCTTGTAAAACTGTGGCCCTTTAGGGCTTCTCTTGAGAATTAGTTTGCCTCCTCCTTTTTTGGATCATAATTTCACTAAGTGTGTATGATATAATTGAGTGAGATAGGGGAGACAGTCAAATCATCATTAACATTACTGCCATAATTATTCAGCAATACAACTATTACTTAACAAAGTTTTGAGGATCAGAGATTTCAGTACATGGATTCCCATCAGACATACTATGCATACCTGGAGCGTGTCTACACTGGCATCTCCTCCCAGAGCTCTTCTGAGCAGTCTTTGAGGATGATGGTCTGGCTCCTTTGGGAGAATGACAATTTGAACCTATGACCTATTCTGTAACATTGATTTCACATGAGCAATGAATGGTCTCTCCTCTTGGCTTTCTCTACCACTCCCTGCATTCTTCAAACATACCAGATACCAATCTCTTACCCACTATTCTCACCTCAGAAGCCCTCCTTGAGGCATAACTAAGCATTCAGATGTAGATAACCATTCATGCTGCTACAGGTTGGCTTGAGTTTCGGTGACCAGAAGTAGAGATGTCTTGAAGGTAGCCACTGCAGATGGGCATAAGAGCAGAATAAAAGGCGCAGTGGAAGCAAAGTCTGACAATTCTTCAAGGAAGCATAGATATCCCGAGTGAGGCACCTGTTTCTCTTTTCAACTGCAGATCTAGCCAGGCTCTTTATCAGAGCACATCCTGTGCCTTAAGCACTCTCAGCTGTCTTCCCCTCTGGATTAACCAATTCTCTGTGGGTTTTTATTTCTTAATTCAGCCTCCAGGGAGGATAAATGAAGTCACTGCCAGAGAGCTCTTTTCTCCTACTGAAAGGGGATGATGGTGGTCAATTTCCACTCTCAGATTCCAGACTTGGTGACCGTGAGAAATGTCTCTCAGATCATCATATGGAGAAATAAAAGAGACTTAGTCAAAATAGTGTACCCAAAATCACAAACTGTGCTTAGAATAATGACAAATAGCAGTTACTAGCTGTCATATGCTGGTAAACTAATCAGAATTTCTAAACTATACTTTTCTCTTTTCAGCTATGCAGCAATATACCCACTATGTTGAGGTGTTGTGAGGAACGCTACATTTATGGAGTGTAAATTCACTGCTCAAAGGTAACGCTTATTATAAGAATTATAAATGAAAAACTATGAAATTCACATACATTTGGCCCATAATATTCAATGCTTTTTAGGAACACCTAATATACACTAATAATATACACTGATAAACAGCTAATAATATACACTGATAAACAGCTGAGCAATGCTAAGCTGTTTTTTAAAACAGGAAAACCCTGCAATTAGATGGAAAAATATCTGAATTTTATATCCTAATATAGGGTAATTCTTAATTTGCTTGATTAGCTGTTCAAATACATCTTTTTGCTGAACCAGTTTGTTAATTTCTATTTATTTATTTATTTATTTATTTTTATAGGCACAGGATTTGGTGCAGTGGGAAATAGAAAACAAAGCTACTTCCCTCAAGATACTTCTTCAGGCTAAAGCAAAACTTCACTCAAATAAAACTTATACTAGTATCTAAGATAAGCACAAAGAAAAGAGGAAAAAACAAAAACAACTAGAACAGAGAATAATTGCTACTTGAGGTATATTCAAAAGTTCTAACATATGGAAGAGATTAAAGAGAGAAGAAAATGACATAGAACAAATACTTAAGAGACAATGGCCCACAAATTTCATCTGGAATATATGTTTTGGAAATTATCAGAAATTTTATGTCTTTTTTGAAATCCTTATTTAAAAGTTTTGCAGAGAGAAAAACATGAGTCCAGATATTATTTTTAGTGAATCATGTAAAATACCTAAGGAATAACTGACACCTTAGCGTGTTTCTAGAGAAAACAAAATGAGGGAATCACTTCTTACAAAGTTTTCACAGGCAAAGCATAACCTGTATTTCATAGCAGAATATGGAATCACAGATTATGAATATTTTTTTAAATAATAAATTTTATTTTTATATTCCCCCATACAATTGCAAAAGCCCCATTATGACCCCAATCCTTCCCTTCCCGCCCCCACCCCCAAAAAGTGTCTCTGGTTCATAGTTTTTTGTTGATTTTGATTTTCACTTTCTTATATTCATTTTCCTGGTCCCTTATTTAAGTTTTCTAGATTCCTGCTATGAGTGAGACCATCCGGTATTTTTCTTTTCTTTCTCGCTTATTTCACTGAGCATGATCCCTTCCAGCGCCATCCATGTTGCTGCAAATTGCATGTGTTTATCTTTTTTGAATGCTGAGTAATATTCCATGGTATATATGTACCACATCTTCTTGATCCAGTCATCTATTTTGGGCATTTGGGTTGTTTCCAAAGCTTAGCTATTGTAAACAGTGCTGCTATAAACATAGGGGTGCAGGTGTTCTTTGGAATTGATGTTTCTGTGTCCTTTGGGTAAATACCTAGGAGTGGAATTGCTGGATCATATGGAAGCTCTATGTTTAGTAGGTCCAGAAATCTCCACACAGCTCTCCATAGCGGTTGGACCAGTTTGCACTCCCACCAACAGTGCAGAAGAGTTCCTTTTTCTCCACACCCTCGCCAACATTTGTTGTTGCTAGTTTTTTTAATATGTGCCATTCTCACTGGTGTGAGATGGTATCTCATGGTAGTTTTGATTTGCATTTCCCTGATGACAAGTGATGTTGAACATTTTTTCATATGTCTGTTGGCCATTTGCATTTCCTCTTCAGAGAAGTTTCTTTTTAGCTCTTCTGCCCATTTTTTGACTGGATTATTTTCTTTGTTGTTGCTGAGTCTCATCAGCTCTTTGCAGATTTTTGTGATCAGTCCTTTATCATTAGTGTTGGGTGCAAAAATGTTCTCCCAGTTGGTGGGGTTTCTCTTTGTTTTTGTTATTGTCTCTTTTGCTGTGCAGAAGCTCTTTAATTTGATGTAGTCCCAGCTGTTTATCTTTGCCTTCACTATCACTGCTTTGGGTGATGTGTCTGTAAAGATGTCTTTGATGTGCAAATCCCGTAGTGTTTCGCCTATGGGAATAAATCTAACAAAAGAGGTAAAGGACCTATACAAAGAAAACTATAAAACACTGTTAAAAGAAATAGAAGAAGACACAAAGAAATGGAAAGACATCCCCTGCTCATGGATTGGGAGAATAAACATTATTAAAATGGCCATCCTACCAAAAGCAATATACAGATACAATGCTATTCCAATCAAAATCTCAATGGCATTCTTCAAAGAAATAGAACAATTATTGATGAAATTCATATGGAATCACAAAAAACCCCGAATAGCCAAAGCTCTCCTGAAAAAAAAAGAAGGGAATGGAGGCATCACACTCCCAGACTTCAAACTCTACTACAAAGCCATAATCATCAAAACTGCATGGTATTGGAACAAGAACAGACATACAGACCAATGGAATCGAATAGAAAATCCAGAAATAAACCCACAGATTTATGGTCAACTAATCTTTGACAAGGAGCAAAGACTATGCATTGGAGCAAAGAAAGTTTGTTCAATAAATGGTGCTGGGAAAACTGGGTCGCTACATGCAAAAGAATGAAGCTTGACCACTACCTCACACCATACACAAAAATCAACTCAAAATGGATTAAAGAACTAGACATAAGACCTGAAACCATAAAATACACAGATTATGAATATTAAGAGCCAAAAGACTCTATAAAATTGATTACAAAATCAAAAACAAAATATTAACAAACCTAACCCAGTTATTTACACACACACAGAGTGTAATCATATTGGATTATATGATCACTAACAAATTTAGTCAAATAGTTTTTCTTGTTAAATTTAGATTATCAAAACTTATACCCTTTTTGTGCATTTAATTCAAGCATCAAAGTTGTTTTACATGCAAAAATCACACAATGTAATTCATTATAAGTAACACAGTGCTAGTAACTGAAAAGGAAATCATTTGCTAATGCACATAGAGGAAGAAAAATATATGATTAGTTTACTACCTATACTTAATAAAACATATTAACTTAGAAAAAGAAGATAATATTCTTGCTTTGCGTAACTTCTTCAACTTTTCCTATATACCAACAATCACTTTCCTATATAAAACAATGAAACAGTAGAAACTGTACTATAGTATAGTTCTCTCCCTGCCAGACTCAGCCCACCTGAACCTCAGAGCAGTGCTCCTTCTTCCAAGCCTTGTAAGGCAGTCTCTTCATTCCTGCCTTGACCCACCTACAACATATAGGTATATTTCTTGCTTGCCATGGAAACTGAGTAAAGGTCTCTGGCATTTTGGGGCCACAACCAATATTTGCCAATGAATCTAAACTATGACTTGAGGAGGAGTCCCGCAACTTCAGAATGATTCCTCTTGAATGTTCTGCCTTAACTTTGGGGGATTATTTACAGTTCTCTCTACCCCTTTCAAAGTGCATTCCTTGGTAAAGTTAAAAAGTATGTGCATTACCTAATCCTGTTCAGATTGGTGTGTGATTTCTGTCTCTTGACTAGACCCTAAATTATGTAATAGGCAAGAATTTCTCAAACTGAAAAAACACTAAGAAACTAAACTTTTAATTTAGACTTAATTAAAATTAAGAACATTTCTGCACATCAAAATATACCATTGAAAGAGTATATATAAATGTATATGATGTTGTAGTACATATATTTACCAAAGAATTATATTCAAAGAATGTGACTAATTCCTAAAAGTAACACTATGGAAAAAGAAAATATTTCTCTCTTAGTGAGTTTTTTCTATGTTCCTTAGTGCAGAGATTTTCTGGCTCAATGTTTATAATGAATAAACTTCATTTGTTCCTCCAGTGTATATTAGGTGTTCCTAAATCTTGAAGTCTAAACCTAAAAGTTATTTTAAATCCAAATCACAGAGGTTGGGAAAAAGTGAATTATTTTAGAAATTACAGTTTTATTTAATAATGCCATTTGAAATTTTGACACAGACAGCATAATAAGTAAGAAGTATTTGGTTCCATGTATATATGAACTGTCCTGTTCTCAACTAAGGCAAGTGAGATCCTATAAGACTCTTTTCTGTCCTTTCATTAATGACCTAGAGTATAGGAATCAGTGTACTGAATTACTTCCATTCTCCCAGGTCTATACTGGGCTTTAACTCATACTTTAGATTTAGAGAGTCAAAAATCATGAGTCTGTCTTCTTATATTCTTTTCATTCCATCTGCCTACAAAAGAATGTCTCTGAGAATTTTATTTCATCTTCCACTTATATCAAAGTTTTTCTGGAAATCTCTCTCCTTCGGATGCTCTGGAAAGCAGAGAGTGAGATAAAATTTAGGTGAAATATGTTTAATAAGGAGAGTTATCCACATAAGTACTTCAAAAGAAAATGAATGGAACTAAAATTGTGAGAAGTCAAGCTCTGAATTTTATGGCTTGGGTGGCAGCTTTGGTCAACACTTCACAGAGTCTGGAAGTTTAAATTGTTCAACAAAATTATTCTGAGCTGACTCCAAAAAGCTTTTGCACCTCAATGGCTGATTGAGGATCACGGCCATGGACAAAGTACATTTCTGAAGTTGAAGCAATTCCTGAAGGAGCTTAATGTATTAGTCTTTCCAACAGCTCTTCCAGCAGTTCTGACTCTAAGCTCTTTACTGAGGGGGGTGCTAGGCAATGCCCCTCCATGTGTCACAACCCATTTCAGAGTCCTTTCAGTCCTTTACATGAGATAGTTTGGGCAAGACTTAAGTTTCTCCTGGACATGTGAGAGTATTACTAGTATACATGATCTTTCTACATTCTTTGTTTTTCCTCAAGCTACCTCCTCTTACCATAATGTCTTATGTAGTGTGTGCTGTGCTGATAAGTGCTTAACAATCAACTCTTGAGGAATTTTTTTAAAACCCTGGCATGTCTTATGTTGATACCACTCTTCAGCTTGCCCACCCCTGGTAGAAGAGATGTGTGAGGCTGGGCAGGACAGGTGGGGAAGCAGTCTAGGACTCGAGACCATGGGTATACCTGCAGGCTGCCCTCACAGCTCAACTTCTAAGAAACAGGCTATATTCTACTAACAATTGCAACAAGAACTTATCAAGGAAGAAAAGTTAAGTACCTGCCCCATGCCCTTAGAGGCCTTAGCCTTGATTGTCAAGCCCTGTTTATTGGGGAAACCCAGTGGTAATGACATTCTGGTGGTGGGAACCTGAAATAAGTTCTGTAACAGAGAGGTGATTAGTGCTAAAATAATCTGTTCATTCAATAAAATTGGTCTTTTGCTGCAAACAGAAAAAAGAAAAAGAAAAAAACCCTGGCATGTCATATTTGCCAATTTCTGCTGTGTAAATACCCCCATCACGACCAACTTCAAATTATCAATGTGACATACTAGAGCATGGAGTTGGACCAACTTACACACAGTGACTTAAGTAAGTCAATAGAAGCCAGTCTCAGCTCGCTACTTTCTTCCCCACTTTGTCCAATTGATGAGAACAAATGGACCCACAAGGCACACCTGAAGTGCCAACTACTCCAATTCCTAGTTCTTAAATCCTCAACTAAAATTGACCATTCTTTAATAACAATATTATACTGTTTATCTGTTTCAATGAAGCATCTGTTAACTTATTTTTACTAAACTCTTTACATGTACATCTCTAGTATTAAAATTGAATCATTAATGTTAAATGCATGTGTTCTTTTGATTATATAGCCACAATATTGAAAGCAATAACTGCCACAATCCTTATTTAATGTTTCTCTCTATTTTTTCTTGAATGAATGAATAAGCCATGACATTTACAATTATAATTATTTTGTAAGTACTCATGAGGCTGGCAGAGAACTGTCCCATTGTGACAATTTGGTATGGCAGTCATTACACAGTGCTGACAAACTGTGCAATATCACAAAGAAAAAGTGAACATATGTTAACTAATAAAATATCACCAAATGAAAGTATTTGTGTGATTCATCTTAGTGACAAAGAAAAAAGTAATGGATTATGAACAATAAGGAAACTGAGAAAGAGCCAATAATATTAATGATCCATACAGACATGTAGAACAAGAGGAATACATATTAGATGATGAAGGTTGATAATTGTGCACAATTCCCAGTCCGTTCACAGATCAAGATCTGAAATCCAGAGAACAGAAAATCTACACATTTGCCTAGATTTTTAGAAATGCACTGTTAGGCTTTCTTGAGCTATTCCAGGTTGTGTGTTGTCAGTATTTGTTGGTAAGTTGAAGGAGCTGACAGACCTTCAGCAACAGTGGGAATAAGGACAAATCACTGACCACTAGACGAGATGAGGACTTAGTTCATATCCAACAGTCACAGAAGTATTTCAAAGTCTTGCCAGAAACTAAAGTTGCAAACTTACCCTATGAAATCAAGGCTATTTTCATTAACAGTATGACATTTTAACATGATAAACAAAATATGGGCAAGTCTATTAGAAAATGAGAAAGATGGAGATTTCTTGAGTTTCAGATCATAAATATAGAACATACTATAGAGAACATAAACATAGACAAGTTTATATATATATATAATTATATTCCCTAAGAACAGTAACTACTATTATTCTCATTAATAAGAATGATTTAATAATATTAAAATTTATAGTTATAATAAAATTATTTTTTCCATATATTATCTAGTGTACATCTCATAATGATCTTAGGAATAGAAAAGGCCATACTTATTAGCACAACATGGCCAAGAAAACTCCAAATTTTCAGTGCCGATGATTAACTGAAATTATATATCTAGAAAGTGAAATAATTAGAAATTTAACCCAATGATCACACCCCAAATATTTTACTTCTCATATACTAAATTATTGTTTCATTGGGAAAACTGGAGGGTAGAAGATATTTAAAGCCTTCTCCCAAATCTAAACTTACGGAGAATTCCTAGACGAATCTGCTTTGTCCTGACACTGTAGACAATAGGGTTAAGCACTGGGGGAAGAAGCAAGTAAATGTCAGCCATAAGGGTGTGGACTATGGGAGACAGGTGCTTCCCAAAGCGATGGACCATTGATACCCCAATAACAGGCACAAAAAAGATAAGCACCACACTGATATGGGATACACATGTGTTGAGTGCCTTTAGCCGCTCTTCACGAGATGCAATGCCCAGCACAGCATTCAGAATCAGGACATAAGAAAGAAGAATGAAGAGAGAATCCACACCCAGTGTGGCGATAACAACACACAGCCCATAAACACTGTTGACCCTGGCATCTGAACAGGATAATTTCAGAACATCCTGATGCAGGCAGAAGGCATGAGAGAGAGCATTGACATGGCAGTAGTGATAGCGCCTCAGTAGCAATGGTGTAGGGAGTACCACTCCCATGCTTCTGAACAAGCAGGCCAAGCCAATCTTGACTATTATACTATTGGTGAGGATGGTGGTATAGTGCAGTGGACGGCAGATAGCAACAAAACGGTCAAAGGCCATGGCCAACAGCACTGAGGACTCCAAAAACGTGAATGTGTGTATGAAGAAGAGCTGAGCATAGCAAGCACTTGCCTGGATTTCCCGAACATCCAACCATAACACAGCAAGCATGGTAGGAAGTGTGGACAGGGACATACCGAGGTCAGTGAGTGCCAAGATGGAAAGGAAGTAATACATGGGCTGGTGGAGTGAGGACTCTACCCAAACGACAGAGAGAATAGTAACGTTACCAACAAATGCTACCAAGTATGCAAAACAGAATGGGATTGAGAGCCAAGAGTGAACATACTCCAGTCCAGGAAATCCCTTCAGGATAAATAAAGGCTCCATAGTATCACTGTTGTTCCAGACCACCATGACGATGCTTGGCAGAGGGAATATTTTCTGTTATTCTTTTTTATGTTGTGAACAAAAGCTGTGCAATCAGGATACACCTCTTTCCCCTGACTTTGCAAAGGAAGGAGATGACTCTTACGGTTCACAGGTAAGAAACATTCCCTGGTAATCAAGAGCTTTGAACTCTGAAAGAAAATGTGCACCACACAAATCCAGTCAACTCTGATAAGTATTCTGATGGGTTTGCTTAGCGGTCACTGAAAAAAATGAAGCTGCAAGAGAGAAGAGAAAGAAATCTTTACTGTGTATTATAACAATGGAAATAAAAGTCAGAGCAAATTTTCATGAATTTGTGTAAGGATTCTGCACCAATGTGCTTGGGTTAATCATTTATTGCTTCTAGGCTACATTTTCATCCATAACAACAGTTTCCAATAAGTCAATATAAATTTCCCTTCATACTTACTTTATTTAACAATTTATAATATCTGAAAATTGAAAATATCTGAGTAACAAAAAATACCATTATATGAAAAAAGAAAAAACTCCATACTCCAGCATACTTACATATTTTTTAGCTGTATGTGTAATAACCTTCTTAATCTAAATTCACAATAGAAAAATATATATATATGGCATAAGGTCACAATGTTACTATTTTTTTAACGACTCCACATTTTTTATTAATGATGTACCATTATTTTACCTCCTCATTTATTTTTTCACAATATAGAATTTCTCCCTCAGGTGTGGTCGACAGTTTTCCCACCGCCAAAGTGCCCATAGTCCCCCACCACAGTCCACTGTGCTGTCATCTCCCTGTTTTCTCCCATCCCCCACCATTATTTTATGCCTTCTCACAGAAAAAATCAGAACAACATAGTTAGTTTAGATGTCTGTGATATATTTATGTGTCTTAAATTAATAATAATGGGAAATTCACTTTATTTGTGTTTATAACTTCTTCCTTCTTTTTCTCTCAAAATGATGCCTGAACAGATTTTTAAAATACTGACTCAAATACCATGTTTTTCAGTTTTATGACCCATTTGTACTTACCTCTATGAACACATAGTAAGTTCAGAAATAGAGCTCTAAACACTCACTATCAGTGACTACTAGAAACACTCAGGCTATTTTTCCTTTTTCAAAATAGAATTCTAATATCCGTTTTCCTCTTCCTGAGCAGTCGTCATTGTGATTGCCTTTGGTGATGCTGCCCTTGTTCCCACTCGGGTTGGATGGAGCTGGACATAGCAAGTAAGTTCTATGGGATTCTCTGTCCCTTTAGTCCTTTGGTTTCTTACTTTAGCCCTAACCTCATTGACCTTGGGAAAATTCTTCATCTACCTCAGCCTTTAGAGTTTAGATTTCCAGACCTCAGGGACTTCAGGCTTCTCCACCGCAATGTGTCAGCATCTCCCTCATCTGTCTTTATATACCCTAATCTCTGCCCTCTTAAAAGTCTAAGATAAATTTCAGCTCTGGCCTGAAGACCTTTCCAAACGTAGCGTCAGAGATTCATCACAGGCTTCATCTGTCCAGCTGTTACTATTTTATTTCATAGAAACGCTGTTGGTATTGTTCTGGTTGTTTGTTTTTCAAACTTCCCCCTTCTGGCTCATTCTTATTTCATTATGTAAATACGGATCGTTCTCAGACTAGACAACCTATATTTCCAAAAAGGATTTTGACTTAGAATCTATATATTAGGAACAGAAAGCAGTCCCATCCTCTCTATGAAGTAAAGATTTCTCCCTTTCTCCCTATTTCCCAGCCTATGTATCCCCTGTCCCCTGAGTCTGGTACCTCCTGGTTCTCTTCTCCAGCATAAGTGGTTTAAGTGGAGTTTTCATGGAGTCCTTGAGTTAGACAAGGCTGTCAGCTACAGAATACCTGCTCAGCACTTTTCTTTTTCTTTATCTCTAAGCAGTCTTTTTTCTTTTTATTCTTCAAAATTTTCTTAAGTTTCTAGTTGAGTTCTCCTTCTTCCTCACTTAGAAACTTAGTTCTAATTTCCATTCTATAGCTCAAATTGTCAAAACACTTTAGATGGTAACACTGAAGTATATAGAATATGTGCGCGCACACACACACACACACGTACAGAGATCACAGTGTGGCCACAAACAAAATTAACTTATTTTACCCCAGGCAAAGAAATTATTTTATGTTTTTTTCCTTTAGTTCTTCCAACCTTGCTAGAAATCACATTTTCTTCAATTAACAAATAAGTTGTAGGAAGTAAACTAGATCACTATTCTTTGGGAATGTCTTTCCCCTTGCTTTAAGCACTCTAAATACAGATGATAATATTTAGAAAATTTCCATTGCAATCCTGTCCATTAACTTAAAGTCAGTATAGGCAGCAATATCCCTATTTATGTTCTCTTTTTCTTTTCTCATTGACCCAACTGTTATGTCTTTCACTTTTTCTAAGGTCCTTTATTGTCCATTCTATTCATTTTCTTCTGACTCTATTTCTTTTTTTTTTTTGTGGGACCCTCGCCGGTGGCTGGGGATCGAACTGGTGCTGCAGAGGCTGTGGGCAGCCTCGCAACCCAGCGCTCAACCACTGCGCCACCAGGGGAGGCCCACTTCTGACTCTATTTCTATGTAATTAACAATGATTCCTTGGGGCTTCTTTGCTACTTTAAAACTTAGTTATAGTGCTATGAGAAATGAAGAGTAGATAGAGTCTATGACTAGTAACAGCATTTATTTCAAAGGGCAAAGGCTTGAATTGACTCTCATCACACATTCATCCATTCCATGGAACTAAGGCAGAACCTCTGAAGATAAAATTAGAACATTTTATTAGTCTCTGCAGCACCTAAGCTTCAGTCCTCAAAAACTACCTTCCAGCCTATCTTAAAATGGTTGAAACAGATTACAGTAGTACATTACAATGTCATAAATTTCAAAATCATTCACAAACATGACAGTACCTAGTTTCCCCTTCTGCATAAACTGTATATTCTAATGGTGTTACTCTGTTCAGCTCTAGTATCTTAACACAAATTTAACACAGCCTGTACTAAAAAAATCTACCTGCTATTTATTTGTAATTTAAAAATTAACATACCTGAAATTTACACATAAGGCAGTGACATCAGTTTGAATGAGAGGCATGCAACCAATCGCCCAATTTCCTAAATGATGCTGTTTCATTTTGTCTTTCTCTGCCTAAGCTTTTCTCCATTGTAGGAAAAGCGTATTCTCTTTCTGTTCCTGCTTTCTCTGTCTCTCTGTCATTTAATTTGCTTTCTTAAACATCTTTATCTTTCCTATTCTATTTTCTGCTTCCATTTCCTTCTATTTTGCCTTCCTTAAATTTATGTCTTTTTAATACTTTTATTTCTATTTGTTTCTATTCCTTTTATTGCCTCTATTCTTTCTTCTAATTTCTCTTTTGATTTCTGTGCTTTCACAACTCCTTTGTTTGATTTATACCTCACCTGAAAGAGTTCCCATCTCTAATTGAAAATCACACTTGTATTGCTTACAGAGGCTACAACTTTGATTCTTATGGACTTCAAGTCTTATAAACCTGTTTCTCTGAGTAGTGAGACTTGAATGCTTTCACCACCCCTATAAATGTTCCTGCTCTCTCCTGGGGCTGAAAATTAGGCACTGGTGTCAGAGTCTGCTGGATCTCTGGAGATTAAATTAATATAAACACTTTACAATCACAGTTGTGCCAAAAGCATATGATTATAGATACTAGAATTATAGAAATGTGTCTCAGCTCTACCTCCCACTCCCAGGTCTTTCTTTCAATGTAGTAATTTTCTCAAATGACTCATGAGAGTGAATTTGTGATAACTACCCTAATCGAGAGGAGCATTGAAATTTCAGCTTCCTTAGAGGCATCCATCTAGAACCATGGTTATTAAGTGCAGTAATAATGCGCATCACTGTTATAAGGTGTTCAACATTTCTCATTAGTCCTATGTTTAATAATCATTTATTAAGCAGCAACAGAATTCAAGACTCCACATTAAACTCTGTAATGACAGAAGTCATTATCTGGTTCACCATTACTTCCATAGTACTTAAGATGGAGCTCAACTTCTCAATATAGTCTTCTTCTTATATCTTGATTATGTCTTGGCTTATAGCTTATATATCTATCTTTTTGCATTTATATATAACTTTCAGAAATAGTTTATTAATTTCTATCAAGACATATTCAATATTGTGAGTTTTATTGAGAATGTATTGAATCTACACATGAATTTAGAAATAACTCAAATATTTAGGATATCAACTTTCTTGGGATCCACATTCTTGGAAACATGGATCTCAATTGAATAAGGTCTTAATTTTTAATCGATATTGTGTTAAACTTTTATGTCGAGAGATAATATATTATAAATCAAAATTATTTTTAGGGATTTGATACTAATTTATGTAATGTGAACAGCACTCATAAATTTTCTTTTTCCAAATCCTTGGTACTAATATATTAAAATAAAATCAATTTATATTTGGCATTTTTCCTAAAAAAAAAAAAAGATTTTTTTATTTTTAATAAGAAATCTTTAGACCTTATTTTGTACCAGTCTTACCTCCACGTACTGTGGAGGTCAGCTTCTTTCTCCCTTATTTCCAATTCTTATATTTATATTATGTGTATTGAGTTATTGCACTACTTGAGATATTTGATGCAATTTTTGGAGGAAGTGATGAGAGTTATGTTGTTTCTCTTTGTAGATGTCACAGGCAATATTCTCAACATTTCACCTTTATAGCATACTTGATAGAATTTTTTTGTAACTAACCTTAATCAGAGAATATGCTTATTTCTATTGTTTTCTTTAAAAATGTCTTATCAAGAACAGAAGTAAATCTCATAAAATTATTTTCTGTTTCCATCAAAATTTATGAAATTTACCTTGATTGCATTCAATTAGTTTTTTGGGTTTTTTTTTTTTTAAATGTTTGCTTCTCACCATTGAAATCCTACACCAATGTTTAGATTTATAATGTGGTCTAGACCAATGTCTTATTTTTGTTTG